CCACCTTAAGATTAACAAACTTAGCCATTTTGCCTTAGAAAATGATGTAAATATTGATATAGATGAACTTAATGGAAATTTCTGATGTATGACGTATGTATGTACATAATATGTTCCTTCTGAAACATTGCATTTTTGTATGGAGCTGAAGAAGTAGAGTATGAGTTTATTTATGTTGGATACCTTTAAGATATTCGGTATTGTATGTCTGGGCTGTCGTACTTAAAAAATCTGATAAATTTGAAAAAAGAGTTGGTATATTATGGATATCTTATGGAGGTCCATTGAATCTAAGTCCACTGGATATCTTAGGGACATCTATTTAATGTTCTAGCATATTTCGACCATGAATTGGATATCTATGGGATATTCGGTAAGTCTGGGCTATCTTACTTCAAAAATCTTTCAATTTGAAAAATGAGTTGGTATATTATGGATATCTCTGGGAGGTCCATTGAGTCCAAGTCCACTGGATATCTTAGGGACATCCATTTCATGTTCTAGCTTATTTCGAACATGAATTTGGATAACTATGGGATATTCGGTATAGTCTGGGCTATCTTACTCCAAAAATTTGTTTCGATTTAAAAGAAGAGTTAGTATATTATGGATATCTTATGGAGGTCCATTGAGTCTAAGAAAGCATTCTTTCATTGTCAGTTATCTTTGAAAAATCATCAAATCAAACCTTTCTGGACTTTCAAAGGATAAGGTAAAAGAAAATTCTCTCTAAATAGTGAAACTTTACTCATCAAATGGAAAAGCAAAACAAATATATCACAGGTTTTTCTGTATTAAGAATACTGAAGAGGACTTCTCCAAAAAAAAATCCGACCAATCACCATCATTCACACATCATTTCGATTTCCGAAACACAATAGAAAAATACTTCCTATAATTTTCATCCCCACGTCTGCCTTTGGAGGAGCCCTCTCTAATAAACACAACAAAATAATAACAATACAGAAAATAAAATATCTATTGTAACCACAACAATAAACTTCTAAAACCCTCAATAAAAAACAAACTATATTAAAATGTGCTTATCACTAACTAAATACAAAAATATATAAAACCTCAAATAACAAACCCCAAATGTTATTTTGCAAACGTAATAGGCGAAATCCTAACCCTAAATCAGACCATCTTCCTTAGAAATATCACAAATGTGTCTTTTGCAAGCCAGTCCTCAAAATCTTTCTTCAAATCTCAACAGAGGTCACCAAAAAGTTCTGAACAAGTCTGAGGAAAACTATATAAACCCTTCAACCTACCCCATCTTGAAATGATACTGATAAATGTTAAAATTGTTTCAAATTAGGTCTGGAGACCTTCAAGATCACCAGATATGAACCCCATTGGCCAAACTCCCAAAAATTGTCCCAAACATCTGAAGACCGACCTGCAAGTGTTTCTTAGTTTTTCCAAGGAAAATTTCTGGATGATACAACTTTTGACAGTTAAGTACATAGCCACCATTAACGTTTTGATTTTTTCTCTTAATTTCTTAGACCACTGGAAAATTGAACTCTTGATATGTGGAGACCCGAATTTTCATTTGAATTTTTGCGTGACGTACCCAGCGAGTTAACTTCACCTTGACATACTAAAAATAGACTTTTCATGGAAAAAAATATTGCCCGACCAGTGGAAAGCTATCCCCTTTATTCGTAAAGCTAATTTGGTCTAAAACTATTTCTGCCCAAAAGTTCCTATCACATACGTTTATTCTCTAGGTTCGTAGAGGCGCTAAATTTGAAATAAATTATTTGTACATAATTTAAAATTCCTCAAGTACTGTAAGTAATTGGATCCTATGAATTTAGAACATGGTTTCGAATGGTGAAATATTCAATTTTGAATTGGGCTTTTTGGATTATACAATTGATTCAGTAATAAAAGTTAACATTTTTTTAAAATTTCAAACCTCATAAGTGTTCGAAACTCTGAAGTATATATTTCACAAACAATTTGAAACATTTTTATAAAGTTTAAATAAAAAAAATGTCATTTAGAATCAGTGAAAATATTCGGGCCATCAACCCTGATGAATAATTTTATGGTATTAGCCGAAAATTTATGGTATTAGCCTCAGTCAGGAGTTTATACTATAGTTTATCTCTAATAGACGATACCAATGCAAGTTATGACTAATCGATAGTTTGACTGTTTATTACAGATAATTTACGATCTGAATTATCAATTATAGGTAATTTGAACAGATTGAACTGTTATCTATGGCTAATAAACTGGCTAAATTATCAGCTTGAACTATCTACTATGGCTAATCAACAGTTTAAACTACCGACTATCGCCAATCAATATTTTGAACTGTCGACTAATGCTACAGTTTCTGTTCAGAATTAGTCAAAATATTCAGTACATTTTGAAAAATAGGTGAGTCTGATGAAGTCTACATTTCAGGTGATATAATTTCAACAAAGCAGTTTTAGTTTGAAGTTCAAGTTCAAAATATTTAGTTCAATTCATAGAAGCGGCCTCAGTTCAAACTATCGATTATCTATAATAGATAGTGTACTCTGTCAACTGTGGCTAATCGACAATTCAATTTGTCGATTATGGTTAATCGACAGCTGGAACTTTCAACTATGGCTAATCAACAGTTTAAACTATCGACTAATCCTAATTGACAGTTCAAACAGTTTAGACTCAGTCAAAATATTCAGTACATGTAGAAAAATGGGTGAGCCTGATGAAATTTACATTTCAGGTGATTCAATTTCGACAAAGCAGTTTAAGTGTGAAGTTCAATTTCAAAATATTTAGTTCAATTCATAGAAGCGGCCTCAGTTAAAACTATCGATTATCTATAATAGATAGTGTACTCTGTCAACTGTGGCTAATCGACAATTTGATTTGTCGATTATGGTTAATTGACAGCTGGAACTCTCAACTATGGCTAGTCAACATTTTAGACTATCAATTGACGCTGATTGACTGTTCAGAATTAGTCAAAATATTTAGAACATTTGTAAAAATGGATGAGTCTGTCTGAAAGATATAGAAAAATCATATTTCAGTTGATACAGTTTGAACAAAGCTCAAGTTTGAAGTTCAAATTCAAAATATTCAATTCAATTCATAGAAGCAGCCTCAATTTGAATAGAATAGATACTGTACACTGTCAGTTGTCTCTATTCGACAATATGATTTGTCAATTAAGGTTAATCAACAGTTGGAACTGTCAACTATGACTGGTCGACTGTTTGAACTATTGACAATAGTCAATAAACAGTTGGAACTGTCAAAAAATTATATAGTTCAAACTGTCAATTTTCCATAGTCCATCTATCAACTGTCGATCATTGCTTTCTCAGGTTTCATTTATAAAGTAAAATTTTTCAGGTAAGAACTATTCTTGAATGTAATTACTGATTACACCTTTCAGATATTCAACAAAATATTGAACGATTTGAAACATGTAATACTAAGTAATGTATTCAAATATTTTTAATTCAACTATCAGTTTCATTTCAATTATGTATAACTTGGTTTTACTGACTGAAAAAAATAATTCTTAGATTTCCTCTCTCTTTTCAATGGAGAGTAACCTTCAGGAATGAAAGATTAACACATTCTTTGAATGGGGAATGTTCCTCCTGACAAAAATCAAGTAGTTTTCATAAAAGAGCTCTAAAACAACGCATTTAAACCCATCATTTCAACCTTTTTCTTTAAAAAATTATTTATATACTTAAAAAAGAGTACGAACTGATCACTATGAAAATCATTTACAAATATTACATATAAGAGTGGACCTAATATAGAACCCTGAGGAACCTCGAGGGGTTCCTCAGGGTTCTCTGAAGGCATTGAGCCTCGCGAAATTCAAATCTACTATTGAAAAGTTTCTTCTACAACACTGTTTTTATAACATTGAGGAATATATTGACAAGGTAGGGTCTTTAATTTATGAAAGACCTCATTAAATCCTTGGTTTATTGATTTTGTATTTATAGTTTTATTTGATCAACAAACTTTACTTTTATATATGATTTTATCCTTGTAACTCCAAACAAGGGCTTCTGCATTCGTGACTTGCCATACATATAAAATGGCCAAATAAAGTACTCTACTCTACTGTAAACTGTTCAGTGAAAATTTCATAGTCCAGTGTTACTCGAATATATTATATATTCACATCAAGTATCCCCAATTTCATCACGTAACAAATTGAATATTTCTTTGTTCTAGGTACCTTGGTGAATTAGCTGTACATCTGAGGCGAGTGAAAACCCTGGTAGGTAGGTTGATTCAAAAGTTTTGTTCGTTTTAACGTCATGTGTTTTTGTAGCTCCATAACTCAATAAATATGTATCAATAGAGAATGTTGTACTCTATACATTTAAGAGCAGACAGTTGTTGGTTCACAGATGGATCAAAAAGTGTTATTACCTGTTAATGACGTAACATTGCAGTGTTACAGGCAATAACACAGACCGATGTGTTATTACCTGTTAATGACGTAACATTGTAATGTTATAGGTAATAACAGACCGGATTGGCATTACCTGTTAATGGCGTAGCATTGCAATGTTGCAGGTAGCAACATGCCGGAGTGTTATTACCTGTTAATGACGTAACATTGCACTGTTTCAGGTAATAACAGACCGGAGTGTTATTACCTGTTAATGGCGTAACATTGCAATGTTGCAGGCCGACGTGTTATTGCCTGTTAATGGCATTTGCAATGTTACAGTTAATAACATGCCGGAGTGGCATTACCTATTAATGACGTAACATCGCAAGGCTACATGTAATAACAGGCCGGAGTGTTATTACCTGTTAATGGCGTAACATTTGCAATGTTACAGGTAATAACACAGATCAAAAGCAACGCTTCAACAAGAGAGGCGGACTTGAGTCAACATAAATACAAGCTACAAACTAGAAATCACCACTCATCGGTGAATCATCAAGGTGAATAAACCTCTGAAGAAGCCAGCCACTCGTACTGCCGAAACGTTAGGATGCAGTTCCAAACTACGACGGCCTTCAAGCCCGAATGGAGATAGTCAACACTGAATTGGGTTATCCCCCGGAATAATTAAATGAATAAATTCCTTTCACCTGAGCGATGAGATCCAAATTGGAATCCAGGAAGTCGTTGACGGCCCCTGCCGACTTCGAGTGCATTTGAGAGTGCCACTGAAGCAGATCGTTATAGATGTCTACAGAGCCGCTTCCCAGTTTCCCTTGCAACGCCAACGAGTACTTATTTTGGATTTTTCCTATTCGATAGAGAAGGACGCCCGCTGAGAAGAACAGTAAGACTAAAAGTAGGGTTGTGGCGAACAGAATGAGGCTCTGCCGGGGCAATTTTCTAAATTCCGTGAAGGTGCCTTTTATCGTCTTCACCAGGCCTCTGGAATCTTTGTCTCGATGCAAAACTGAAAAAAACAACACCCAGATGAAACGTGTAAATAGAAATAACCATGTGAACAAGCAAATCCAGAAGTATACACGATTGTAAATAAGAGGTCTGTTCAAAGAATAGGGTGGATGTTCAAATTTCGCGGGCAACGTACATTCTATTAGTGNATTTTCTAAATTTTTTAAGTTAATTAATTAAGGTAATATGGTAATGTGGGCAGTGGAAGGGCAAGTTTTTCATCGCTACGCGTAGACCTTTTTGTATGGCTTTCAAACTTTTCTTTAAGCTTGTGAAGTAAGCAGAGTCTCTAAAATTATTACTTCAAGTATTGTTAGTATTTTATTTCTGCAGAAAAGTGGCCTACACTTCAATTTGAATATTATTCTCGAAGCTCTTTTCTGGATAACGAATATACTCTGCATCAGGATCTGGCTGCCTGAGCCCTAGAAAGGAATTCCATACCGGCGATGACTCTCCATGACTGAATATGCAGTTATTTCTGCTGAAAATCCGAGTTCACGAGAAATGACATTTATGGAAATGCAACCAAAAGTTACTTTTTTTTTTAAAGCAGTAATTTGTGTATCAAATTTTGAATTATGTCACAGATATTCAATGCTCAGTACTCACTTCTCTAGACAAAATTCAATCAAATCGATGACTATTTTCACAGAGACAATAACACTGAATGTTTACCAAAAATCTGCTATAAAAATTGGATCAAAAAATTTCCATCAAATTTTGTGTAAAAACTTGAATTGAGTACTCAAAAAAACACTTGAAATGTAGACAATGACAGTGACACTTGAGAAAGCTACTGTGCTAGCGAAACAAATATTTTATGAGAAATTTATAAATATTTTTTGAGGAAAATGAAACTTCACCTTACCTCTTGAGTAGACCTCGTACACGACAAATATTATTTTAATGGGAAAACAAAATAAACGGGAATGGTACTCACCCTCTTTAGTGTTTAACAGCGATGGATCTTTTGTCAACGATTTCATCAAGGAAAATTTTGGCGTGATTGTGATTGGCGGTGAATCCCTGCCGCTTTCAGCTTCTCCGGATTCACTGGAGTCTATGATGTCGGGCTCCTGCAACATACGTATTTAATGCAACGTTCTCGTTCCCAAATATAGAATGATACATGAAAGAATTGTTTGAAAGGTTTGAAAGATATACTGCATAACGAGAAGAAACAACCATGAGAAACAACAAAATCAGAGAGAAATGAAATTGAAATGAAATAGAAGACTAAATATAGTCTTCGACATATCTGGTCATCGGAACTGTCGGGGAAGAACAAAGTTGCTGCAACAAATATGCTTGCCGTTCCAATCTTACTCTACTCGTTTGAAGTAGTGAAGTGGACTCGGGAGGAGTTGTATCAACTCGACGTAAAGACCCGAAAAATGATGCATCTCTGTAGGAGTTTGCATCCCAAATCGTCTGTTCCACGGTTGTACTTTCCCCGACAACAGGGAGGCCGTGGACTTTTGAGTTTGAAGTGTCTACATGACAGAATGTTACTGGATACAGCCTGTAAAGTCGTCAGAAGTTCGGAACCCTTCCTCTACATGGCCCGTGACCACGAGAGAGCCTGAAAATCAGCTACCAAGCCCAAGGCAGCAGACGCGCAAAGGCGTACAGCGCCATCTGTCCGCGAATAGTTCAAGCAATAATGTCGATAATTCTGTCAAATACAGATCCCGAGCTTGAGAGTTACAAACATACATACACACATACAGGTGAAGCTAATAAAAACGTGTTAAAAAAATACTTTTTTCAAATGAAGAAGTACATGTAAAGTGAGTTCAAATTATATCAAGGAGGTAGTGTCCGACCGAAAGTTCGGTTTCGGTCGAGTTTCGGCAAAAAAACGGGTTTCGGTGGCAAACCGGCCGAAACTACGACCGAAACCGAAACTGCATTCGGGAGTTCCCGCGCTGTGATCGGTCATGTTCGGCCCGTTGAATTTCATACAAGCGACGAAGACATTTTGCCGCGTCCACGTGCCCAATCATGTCGTGACTCGAGACTTACTTTGTTTATTACATAAATATTAAGTACCTATTGTGATATTAGCTAAGAACTTAAATAAGTTTAAAATTTTTGAAAAACCATCGATAATATTCGAAAGAGGGATCAACACCTACTCAAATAAACATCTCACCTATTTTAAGTATTTTTAAGGTGCAATTAATATTTTTTCTTAAATAAGGGTTTGTTACGTTGATTATCGATAAGTAAAAATGTCGAAGACTGCATAACGTTGTGATTTAAAGATAAAAAAATGAAGCCTGACTGATTATAATAACGTTTTTTTTTATTTTTTCCTCAAAACATAATACTTATACGGAAGTTTCGATTTCGGCCGAAACTGAGACCGTTGCTGAAATTCGGTTTCGGTCGTAAAAACCAGTTTCGGCTGGACACTACAAGGAGGTTACATACAGCGCCATCTGCCCGCGAATAGATCAAGCAATAATATCGATAATTCTGTCAAATACAGATCCCTATATGAAATGAAAAGGAAAGTTACAAACAAACATACATACATAAAGGTGAAGCTAATATAAAGCGTGTAATAAGGAAGAACTTGATAATCTATCAATTTTATATTTTCATTCACCTCAATTTTCTATTATACTAACTTTTTCAACTCCTTCTTGTCCAAATCATAAGTAAACATTTTCAAAGTTCTTATTGTGTTTACACACATAATAACTTAAACGGCATGAAATTTAATAGAATAAAAAAATGAATTGACACGATGAGACAAGTAATTTTGAAGAATCTGTCTTCATTTTTTATTGACTACATTGACTCACCAGAGGTGAGAAGTCAAAAGTAGAAGAAAGGTGAGTTATTTCATTCCAGAACGTTCCCAAATACTAAATATTAAATGCTTTTCACAATAGATTCCAACAATATATTGAAAAAACCAAATTAACTGATTTACAATACACAAACAACACCATTTATCCACATCATTTTCCACATCATTGATAATTATATTTTATCAGATTGTCATTGTATTACTTATTTCCCTGTGATTAATTACTGGGAAAAAATGTATGCAAATTGATGATTTGAAAATAGAACAGACAACATTTCTTATCTTAAAGTTCTTCCCGTTTGACCAATGAAAAATCGGGACAAGAATCTCAAGTCAACGTATGTATTCCTGATTTAGTTGACACTCAAAAATTTTGCATAAATTGTTGACAGTCAGTACCAGCAATTTATGTTCTTGAATTGTGTGTGTCCATTTTCGAAAATAAGGATGATTTTAGCAAAAGATCAACTATGCGCAATGAGAACACAAGATACAAAAATTATTTTCAAATTCCGCTAACGAAATACAAGATACCCTACAGATCACCAGATAGTTCTGGACTGATGACGTTTAATAAACTATTTCAATAAACTGAAATCAAGTTTGACAATGAAAGTGTTCAAGTTCTCATTGCACTTCTAGGTTGTTTGTTTCAAGAAACAATAGTAGGCGTCATCGGGCATTGACAAAATTTTATGTTGGCCAAACGGGGCTAAACTCTTTCCAAAGAACAAAAGATCATAGTAGTAGTTTCTCGAATGTGAAAAAGACATTGCACATTTGCCAACCATTTTTTGACAGAGGGGCATAAGTTCAACCATGAGTTGGGGTTCATTTTTGAAAAATTTGTACCATGGTTGTACGAAAGAGGAACCAAATTCAGCATAGGTGAAAGAGCTCACTTACCTCGATATCGGGTTCTATGATGACAGGAGAAGCGGTCCTAGCCTTTTCCCAAACAGTCCTCATGAAAACCAGGGTACTGTCCCTCGACATGAGACTGCCAAAGACGTGTTTGTCTTCACTGGTAGACACTCCAACAGCATTCGGAATTATCCTCGCCGTCTTTTCTTTTGTTATGTCTTCTACTGTTAGGATTGGTATCAACAGCTGCAAGCAGAAAATGTTTATTTATTCCATAACCATTGAAGTACAGAAGGAAATCTTTTTTTCAATAGGAAGTCACTTTTCCCAGCTGGACGATCCTGGGACTCATACCTTAGTAACATATCCAAAAACATTCGAATAGAACGCGAAATAGTTCTTGGTGATATAAAGATGGCCTTGCAGCAGGATGTCGCCAATAAGGGCGCAGGAATAGTGATTGAGGACCTTCTCGTCCTCCTCGACGTTGGGAAAGTGCCGCAGGAACTTTTTCTGTCTGGCCTTGGAAGTGATGTGCACTTTGGGCTCCTTGACGGCTTTGGGACTGGGCGGTTCGGTGGGTTGTGCTTGAGCAGTCATGATGGGCGTCGAGGTGGACAGGTGTTTTAGAGATGCCCTGAAAAAAAGAAGGGTTCAGCATTAGACATCAAGGTGGTTGACGTCCAAAGTTTTGCTTTGCTGCGGATCTCACATTAATTTTCGATGACTAGATTTGAGTTTTGTATCGACTCACTTTGAATGTTTTGAAGCCGCCAGTTCTGATTCATGACTTATTATAACTAAATCATCAATGAAAAAAAAAAGAACAACTGAGGTTCTGAATTCGAGCCTCTCAGCACTCCAGAGCTGGGACTAATTGATCAGGTAGACTGAGAACCCTGCTTTAGGGTCAATAATTTCATATACAGGGTGTAACTGAATACGTGTAAAACATTTGAGGAGGTGATTCCTCATCGAAAAAAAGATAGGATCTTTCATATGAAGAAACTTCATTGGAGCATTCCTTGTTAAGATACAGCCCCTTAAAGGGGGTACATAAAAATTGTATAACAATTTTTTTCACAAGCACTGAAAAAGTTACAATATTGTAACTGAAAAAATATAGGATTTTTCATTTAAAGAAACTTCATTGGAGCATCTCTTGTTAAGATACAGCCCCTTNTTTGGGCAAAAAACCCAAGAGACATTTTTTGTTTAGAATGAAACAGGCTATTGGAAATAAATTTTTAAATGGTAAACAAATAATAAGACAAAAAGTTACATTGGAAATAAGTTTTAGGGGTTACGTTTTCCACCCCTTACAACCATGGGGTAAACCAAATACATTTCTGGCTAAGTGTCTTTTTGGTAGTACAAAACGTCAGGTTAATTTCAATATTGTAACTTTTTTAGTGCTTGTGAAAAAAATTGTTATACACATTTTATGTACCCTCTTTAAAGGGGGCAGCCAAAATCGGCAGCTATTTTTCCGGAATTACCCGAATGGTCAATGGCGTACCGAAATAGTTTTTTTTATTCAAGCAAGAACCGCATCAACCACAGAGGGTTATTAGCGGGGTACATTGCAAGTTATAATGATATCATGTTTTTTGGGTTTCTTATATGCCCTCATGTGGAAAAGTATACGGCTGTATTGTATATTCTGTATCAAGGAATATTTTTTCGTCCCCGTCCTAGAGGGTTAAACACCCCCCCGAAATGAATAAAATTCTTGAAATACGAAGGAAACGATAAGCCACTTTGAAATTGATACGAATGATTTCTATCATTACTTTTTGTATTCGGTATTAAGAAAAATCTCTTGGGCCCCGCCCAAGCGGGTTAAACACACCCCCGAAATGTAAAAAAAAATTCTTTTGATATGAAGGAAACGAAAAGCCAATTTGGATATTTCTGACTTTGGCTGCTAACTTCACATCGGTATTTTGAATTACTTTCATAAGCATTTCATATAAATGTCCTATTACTTCAGTTGTAACCATAAATTTTTGTTATATGTCATTGAAAAATTGCCTCGCGATAAAAACATTGATTTCTTTGAGAATAATGTTGTATCTTCCTTTGAATAATGTCAATTTTCAATAACATGAGACTCAGAATTGAATAACCGTTATCGACAATTCAATTATTCCACTTTCATTCAACGAGAAAATCTTGACCTCAAGTAAGCGCCGCAAAAACACATGAATATGTAATGAATGGGGAGTACTCACTTCTCTAGGCAAAATTTAATCAAATCGATGACCATATCCGCAGATACAATAACACTGAGAGTTTTACTAAAATTCGAAATTCCACGTGCGGGCCGATTGACAGTGACGTCAGAAAAGTGTTTTATTACAAGGTTCAATCGCGACCGTTAATGCAAAATATGTGTTTGTTAATTAAAGAACGGTGTTATCATAATATGGCGAAGTTACTTTCCTATATCGAGTCCTTCGATTGGAATCGGCGATTTGGCCGACTCAGCAGCGATTATTTTGTTATTACGACATTCATCGCANGAACAACTAAAATTAATGTTCACTTATACATTTTTGTGCTTTTCACATTTTCTGATGTGGAATTACAGTTTTGTCAACACCCTGTCAATTTTCTTGACTAACAGGATTATCTCACGAAGATTGCACACGTCATAACGATCAGTTGATCCCAATATTCTATAGTTAATTGCCATGTTCCACTAAAGGATTTGAATCTGATGATGTGTTTTGTGTTCGAGCTAGTCTGTAGTTTTAATAAATCAGTACATCGGATGTTTATTTATTTATTTACGGATTCAACGCCCATTTCATTCAATATAATGAAGAAACAAAATGAATAAATAAAATGCATACAACAAAATAAAACAAGTTGTAGCGACTTGAATGGAATTCAGTGGACTGTATTTACTTTTGACGTTAACTGGTAATTTCTTTGATTTTAATATTTGGAATAAAACTCTACTCCTTGAAAGATGCATCTATTGATTGTCTGTTACAATCGAACTCATTTATTACATTTCTAGCCTGTCTCGATCCTTTTAGAAGACATTGCGACAAAAGTGTGACTTTTGCAAAAGTCATTCTCTATGAACATATTATTGAACTCAAATATCGTCAAAAAAAAACTAGGGTCGGAAAATGGGTCCTAAAAAGGTAACCAGACATAACTAAACACTAGCGGCCCACTTGGGACAGTTCCCCCGACACTGATAATAATAGTAATAATAACCGATGTTATTAGTAGATTCAAACTAAAATAACAATAGCACCAGATAAAAATGGCCCACCAAAAGGCAGAGTTCACACCCGAAGAGGGGGGTTGGACATGTGCTTTCTTCCACTCAATCAACTGAACTAAATTATTACAGGGTGTGACAAGTTTCGATATAGGATAACAACAAATTAGGGATTACAAGTAACAAAAATTCAGAGTGATAGAATCTGATAGAAGATATCTTTTCAATTCTTCTTACCAGAGAGCAATACAGAAATTCAAAGCTGCTTAGGAAGCCAAGCATTTTGTGAGACATATTAACAGTGTTGTGCAGAAGTGAACTTGATATTTATTATTGTTTATTCATATGTATTTGTCGACTCACTACGTATACTCATTGTAACAAAATAGTTAAATAAATTACTATCATTACTATACTCATTACTTTCCAATAATAATATTTTTAGACTTGAAATAGTAGAGATGATTTCATACCGGATTCATATCAGCTATCAAAACATTCAAAAAACTTCGCGCAAGTGTAAACAATCATCAAAATGTTGTTTGATAGCGGTTTATTTCTTGATTATTCCTGGCATTAAATATTTAGTCAAGAACCTGTTTGCAATTTTGATACGTAATTTCGGGTTTTTTATCTAACGGATAATGACTGCCAAACTGGACGTAGGAAAACTCTTGATGAATTGTGAATAATCTCTCAATATATTGTAAACACTTCATACACCGTTGTGAAAATAATGAGGCTATCGAAGTTTTTAATATCGTAGTGTCGTGGCTGTATTATCGATCGAAACTGTTTGAACAAAATCGCATTTTTTTGATGTTTTGGCAATAATAACTATGGAAAAATGATCAGATAAGATATTCAGACTGTTCGTAGTGTTACTGTCAAGATTTCAGTAAAATTAAAGTATCCCATATCCAACTTCCACCTATAGTATGTCCAGAAATGAGAAAAACTACAGCAGTATATCTACACACATCAGAAAAGTCTAGGGATATTTTTATAACATACTAAATATCATAAAAATAAATGCATGAGGTCGTTTAATTTCGATTAAATTGGTACACTCGACCACCCTGTAGATTTCTATGGGTTGAACAAAGCCTGCAAAAACGGTAACTAAT